AGAGCTACTCTTGTCATTTTATTAACTGCATTTGGTGGTGTCCACCAAACCCAAATTTCATTCTTCCATTCTCTTCGCTAATTGTGAACATTTTCTATTATTGCACTAGTATAGCCCAACAACACATCGTTTTTTTTCAAATTCAAATATTTCTAAATAAAAATTTGACTTTTAAAAAGAGAAGCAAAAACAAATTAGTTACTGCATCATCGTTTCATGATGCTTTCAACATAGCACACTACATCTTTCAAAACATGTTGAAATGTGGAATTCAAGCGGATGAGAAAAAACCTATTTGCCTGAAAAAACAAAAGAGCTTTTTGTTAAGTTCATACAAGCATGTCATTAGGCTGGGGTTTCAAGACAGATAATTTTACATTTGTTCATCCATGCATGCTCTCATGGGTGAAAATACACATGGACAGAGTACCAGTTATTTCTGTCATTTTATCGTAGAACTTCACTCTATATCTTATTTTCTTTTGTGTTTATATAATAGATTATTTTGTTGCACATTTTTTACATTTTATGCAATTTTAGTTGTGTTGTAAAATTTGACATTCTCTCAAAATAAAACATTTTTCATATTTTTATCAACATTTTTCATATTTTGAACAATATTTTTCCGGTTTTGGTCAATATTTTTCATGTTTTGATGACATTTTGGATAATCTTCTGGTTATTCAAAGTGGTTAATCACAATTGGCATTTGACAAAACATTCTCAGATTTTGGGCTAATTTTAGTAATTGTTTTCACTATTTAAACCTTCATTACGGTTTGCCCAAGTTTTGCTACTTTCACAAAAATGCCAATAGTCGTAACCAGCAATCAGTATATATCATTAAAAACTGCTGAAGTATTATTGGAAGAATTCAAATAACTGTCATTATTTTGCTGTATGCAATTTTTGGCAGCGGCCGTACCCCCAGCTACAGAGGTGACTATTCACTGCTAGCGACAGTACCCCTAGATTACATAGACGACTAATCTCTGCTTGCGACAGTACCCCTAGATTACATAGACGACTAATCTCTGCTTGCGACAGTACCCCTAGATACGAATGCAATGCCAAAAGAACTAGGTTTTTGAGGGTCAGTTAGCAAAGCTTTTTGTTTAGTTGTAGGGTCATTGAAATGTTGTTACAAAGTTTGATCTGCACTGTGATAAGAACACATTAAACGGATGAAGGGAGACACAATGAAAATTACATTCACCAAAAAAAAGACACATTATAGAAATGTTGACCATGTGTTTGGCACAAATAGGTTAGATGTCTGAAATGTTGATGAAAGAAACACCAATGAGGATGCAGTTTATTGTATGGAAGCCATTTTGTTAAAAAAAAAACTTCAGGTTAACTGTCGACCATCTTGTTGATTGACAGGCAGAATTATGGGCTGCCATCAGTCAATCATTATGCAATGCAATGACCCTGATGTTTTGGTCTTAAAACTCTTCACTTTTCTATAAAATAGCTTAATTTTCTCTCTGCACGATGTGGATGATGAAAGAATGAAAATCTGTGCAAATTACTTGGCAAACTCATTGGCTAAATTTGAGCAATCTATGTTTGGATTGAGAGCTAACTGGGTCTGTGAGCAAGCATAACGCTGCCTGTGAAGTATAAACAGTCTAACAGAAAGGCGAACTCCAGAAACCAGTCCAGCGTAAAGGGAATTCCATTGTTTGCTCCAATTCTATGCGACTGGCTGAAACCAAACACGGGACTTAACATTCTCCGGAGGAATGTCACAGCAAATCCAAAACCATTAAATTGGACTGTACCCCCCTCTCTGGTTGGAGTGCCTCCTTCAAAATGGTTGAACATGGCTGCTTTACAAGTCAAAAGCTGTTGCAGACGTCTTTGTTAACTATATGTGAAGAATGACAGCTGTTGGAAAGGGACAAAAGTGACAATCTTGTGGTGCTACATAGCACAGACAGTTCACAGTCACAAGGTTCCTTTTTTTAAATTTAAAAAATAAAGAATATTGAGGACATTTCTAGCGAGTGAAGCCGATCTGAATGTCTAATACTGGACGCTAATACTTGTCTGCTTCCAGGTGCATTTACTCCTTAGAAGTTAAACAGTATGTTAGTTAGCATCAATTTTTTGCAGTGATTTAAACTCAACTGTTCTAATTCTGTACTTTTTAGCAAGATAGACGTTTTCTTGGAGAATAGTACAAATATATGACCTTGATGATAGAGATAATCTCTCGGGTGGCTTTAGTACGTCCGGCAAGTAATTTGGTTATCAGCGAAAAACTACAAAAAAGAAGAAAAAAATGTGTTTCTTATCATTGCCTGTGGGAGGGGATGTTGAAGGTTCTTATGTAGGTTTTCACATTAAAATGGAATAGAAGAAACAATTGCTATGTCGTGATTGATAAGCTCTGCCTTCAAGATGTAAGATTCCATTATCTTCTACATTATGCGCTATTAGCAGAGAGCAGCTTCCTTCCCGCTCATTACACGCCATTAGTTTGCCAATCCACAATAACGCCACGAACAGCACTACTCTGTTTTGTCCAATCCATCTTGACATCAACTTCCTTTTCTCTTCATCGAGAAAATCTCAGTAATCTCACAAGGATGCGTGTACATGCCCCCCATTCCTGGGCTAACCCGAGAAGGAACATTTAAGATTTTTTCACTCAGTACTGTTCAAGTGTATATACAATCACATTCTTCAGAATCATGAAAACCTAAAACAATTATCTTTTTTCTTCTTCTTTTTTTTTTTTTGAAAGCAAACTGATTAAATGATTATCGCTAATGCAGTTAAAAATAATTCTTTTCCTTACAGTATCTCGTATATCACCTCAGTCGGGGGTCACTGATGTGAATTGCCTTAGGAACAGTGACAGTGCCCTTTCTTGCATTGCCAACCATAAAAGTGTCAAGAATTTTGTCTTGTTTTTTTTAACACTTGAACATTTGTATATGTGAGGTATCCAGCTGACATCCATCCATCTATTATCCCAACTAATGGCTTTTATTGCTTGGCTACAAATTACCAAATGACAAGTGAGGGTGATTTGGACAGCGCCCTCTATGACGTGTTTCGCAATTTACTTTGTTTTTGAATAAAAAAAATCCAAAAAAAAAAAAAAACACTTTGCATTAAAATCATACCAAGTGGAATTTCTAGGTTTTAATGAGTAAAGCAACTGAAATACAGTGTTTCAGTATTAGAAGAATGCTGGCCAAATCTGGTGGAAAATCTGGCCAATCATGTTTTCAGAATGTATTTATTTTGTTATTTTTGAAATGTATACAATTTTAACACTTTTTTTTTTTTTTTTGGTAATTCAGATTATGGTGCAATGGGAAATCCAGATGAACCTATACCGGAGTTTATCGTTGAACCAGAAGATGGTTATATAGTTAAAAATGCCGACATCACGTTGACGTGTGTGGCAGCACCAGCAATGCATATTTATTTCAAATGTAATGGGGATTGGGTGAGAGGGAAACATTTAGTACAGCAAGAAACATTGGATGAGGCAGGCAACGCACAAAAAGAAGCTAGCATAGGTAAGAGTCTGCCATTATTCACCACCACCAACTTATTGAACTGGCATTCAATAATTTGAGACCAACATCAAATTCTGTCCTGTCCCCTTCTCTAAAATAAACTCACAATTTATATCTTTTTTTAAAAATGTTTAACAAGTGGATTATGTCAGTTTTGTTCAAAATTAAGAAAAAATGATACAAATATTCATTGAAATTTTGTTAAATATTGCAGCAAAGTTTTTTGTTGGAAAAAATTAAAGCATTCCAAGACTCGGAATTTTTTATTACTTTTTGTAAATATTCTGAACCATGCAATAGTTTCGAACAACATTATTTATGCTTTGATTGTTTGTGACATTCCTAGTGAAAACACAGAAATTTGTGTTGTCCTGGATGAGAAAAACTTTTGCGAATTTCACAAGTTTGTTTGCAGGAACATTTCTCTTGGGTCCTATTGCATGGAGTGTCGTTGATTCTCACAAAATGTTGTCTTCACAAAGAAATGCACAGTATGCTAGTCATTCTATTAGTAAATAAACTGTTTTTATCACATTTTTTTATGCAAATTATTCTTTCATGGCACTAATAAGAAATCAGAAAATATTCTGTCGTAGAATTTAAAGTTTTCTGATATGAATTTTTTTTCTATGCATACTCGTCCTATAAACATTAATGTGAACATGTCAGTTGTAGGTTAATTGAATCTTCACCTTTCTTTACGATTTAGTTTTAACACGCAATGAAATAGAATCTTTTTTTGGGGATGAAGATTACTGGTGTCAGTGCGTTGCCTGGGGAGAAGGAGGTTCAGTTAAAAGCAGAAAAGCAACGATAGTTATTTCATGTAAGTAATTTTGGTCTTCATTGATCCCATATTGACTTCGCTGTTTGTTTTATTTCTATTACTAATTGTTATCGATGTAAAATACTGAACAAAAAAAACTCAAAGATTTTGTGAGTCATGGTACAATAACCAATGATAGTCTTTCTTTAGGTAATTATTGTAGTCATGTGATGACCAATGAAAGTCTTCTTTTTTGCGTACCGGTAATCATTGTAGTTTTATGGGTAAGTAATTATGGTATTTGTGTTTACGAGAAAGTTTGCAATTTTCTTTTATTTTCAGTTCTTAAAAAAGCATTCGAAAGAGAACCGCTTGGGGCCAATATTGAGATAGAAAGTGCTTTTCAGATGATGTGTCGGCCACCGGAGGGAAATCCACTGCCAGATATTTATTGGGAGAAAGATGGAAGGCAGATTGATGTTCAAGAGGATCGGAATTACATCATTACAACTGATGCGAGCCTAATTATAAACCAAGCGAGATTGGCAGATACTGGAAATTACACATGTGTAGCACAAAACATGGCCAGTAAAAGAAAAAGTGATGTTGCGAAAGTAAATGTATACGGTAAGTTGCGATTTAATATTGATTTGTGTTCATTGAAATTGAGATACATTATAAAAATTTACAAAAAATTTCAGAATGAAAATAAAAATTATATTTATTTTCTGTTATCGATTCTCTCATTTACTAAAAATCCAGAGAACAGCACTCCTGTCAATCGAATGGCACCGACAAGTCTAGCAAAGCAAACGCCAAAGTGTTTACAAAGTTGCAATCTATCTGATTGTCTGATTTATTCTCATAACTGCCATAAATACGGTATACCCGGGAGTTGAAATGCTAATCCATATTTTTGTTTTCTCACACAGTTAATGGTGCGTGGTCTACGTGGAGTGCTTGGACCGGTTGTGACAGTAGATGCGGGAAAGGAATCCAGAGAAGAACCAGGACCTGTACAAACCCGGCGCCTCTGAATGGCGGAGCACCGTGCCCCGGAAGTTCTAGCCAGACATCACCATGTACGACACTTTGTCCTGGTAAGTCTTGTATTCTGAGATGGTCGCTGCTTCCAGACTTTAATTTTATGGGAATGATGATTTTTGGAAAATATCTTCTTTCACCTCAGTCAGGAAATGCAGATAAGAGAAGCCATGTTTGTGGAATTTGTGTGTAGATAGTTTGAAACACCAGGTATCTACATCCTACCATTCCCACCCACTACAACCAACCAACCCAACCAACCTGTACGTAGAAATCTACACCATAATGCTGGTTTCTATAGACAACTGGGTTGTTTTAGGAAAGAAATCTTACTGCCAAAATTCTTTGTTAAATGAGATCATAGGTAATTTGTGTGCTGATGTTATTAAGAGATCAATCCCCACTAAACATAGACAAGGTGTATACACATTGTAACTGCCCTTGGTTGTCATGACAACATATCATACCTCTTAAAATTGATACAAAACAGTAATCTTTGATGGGCAGTCATTAATCCCCATGATTAGATTATAAATAATTCATATTCACAACCCAAGGTCTGTAGTGTTTACTTGTCGAGAATCGGTAATCTAAGAACTTTCCCCAAATGGTGAAGAAAGATCCTAAGGAATCACGTTCATACCTTCTTACAAAGTGTAACAATTGCTTATCAATAGACTAAGCCTTACATCTGTCGTAAGGTTTCAAATTTATATCCTGCATTTGCTGTATCTGATTCACACTCTGTTGTGTTCTAAAAATAGCAGACTTCATGTTGTTAGTGTCTTTATTTCTTTTTCAAGTTTGCATTCTAAATCGTTTGGGCGTTGCATATATGCTTTCATTCTACCCAGCATCATTATTGGTAACTTGCGATATCATTTTCTAAGTTCAAAATGTTCTGTTCTAAAATTAACAAAATTATTTCATTTGGTGTCAAATACTATAGCTTGGGCCAAGACAACTTCTTTCACGGCCATGCTAAACTGCATTGACACACTTGGTTAACACTTGTATTATAACAAAAATGACTCTGTGTCGACCCTGAGTTTTGGTACAGGTGTAAACAACAAAACCATAGAATGTCTGTTGTCTTGACAACGTTTATTGTTGTAATGACTTTTCTAATCTTTATAAAACTTTAATTTGCCTTGTCTTAGTCAAGTTTGATAAGTGCATAAACGAGTGACTATCTTGGGATTACTAGTATTGATCAATGTCACATGTTTTTATTATTTTTTTCTGTCAGCAATGACAGGGCGGTTTTACCATCTTATCAAACTTACATAACAGCAATTTTATGAGATATCAAGCACCTGCAGACAAACGAATGTTTTCCCAAAGTTGCATCCATTAAGTGGTTGTCATATTGACGTTAAATTAAAATTACCCAGAATGCATGCTGATATCCATCTTCCAGGTTTTGTAAAGCTTACTGCTTTGGGGAGGTTAATCATTGTTACCTTATATGAAAGTTGACCTGAATTGAAAGTGTTAATCATTTTACTTAAATGATAATTCGTATTTTATATGTAAACAAATTTTTTCTTAAATACATAGATATTGTAAACCATTAAATTTTTGAGCTATGACAATTTGACGCCAGTCATGGAGATGAACAGTTGCTGTATATATATAACAAATATTCACTGCAACGTTATTTCCTGATTTTTGCCTGAAATTCTGCCAACATTTGTCTCTCACGAAGAATAGTGGTTTAAGAAAATAGCAATTTCAAAATTAGTTGAAACATTGTCGTGTGCAGACGATATTTTTTACATGGATCCATATTGAACATGAAGTAGTGCAACAACTGGCCCTTTTAACTCAGTGATGCATAATAGATTACGGCTGATGCGTAGACTCCCTAAGTGTTTGCAAAAAGGAGGGTGGAAAAAAATTAAAATTAATTCTTTTTTTCCATTAGATTTGTGGGATTCTCAAAGAATTGTAAGTGAGGTCATTGATCGGAGAGAAGAAATAAAATAAAATGTTATTCCATGTATAACCTTGTTTCTCATCTGCGCGAGACTTTGGTACTTTGATCATGATACTCCCATGAAAATGCAACTTGGGTTTGTTATGCGGTGGGCGGAAAAAAAATGAAGATAAAAATAAGTTTTTTTTTTGCAATTTGTTGCACTTACAAGTCAGCGGACACGAGAAATTACGCTGAAATAAAATTTTCATTTTCGACTCCTGTTGATTTGGCGGGTTTGCAAAACAAGGGATAATAAAAGTCTGGCCTAAGTGTAAATAGACACATCTGGCAACTTTTGGAGATGTGAAAACTGTTAACATGTTTAGCTCCACTGTTGACTTTGTCGAGCGAAGCTTATCATATGAGTGATTGTCTGTCACCGTCCATTGTCGTCCGTGTCAACTTTTTACTTTTTCGGCTTCTTCTTGAAAATTACAATTCTTATTTCTTCAATACTTGGTCTATATGTACCTTGGGCAGACCTCTCCTAGATTTGTTCATCTTCAATTCTCTAATTTTGGTGAATATTTTTGTCATTTTTGGTAAAAAGTGAGATTTTCGACTTGTTAAAATCCACAAATCTGATTGCTTTGATACTATACATATAGGTACCTCAGTTAGACCTCTCAGATTTGTTCATTTTCTAATGATATCTTCAGTTCTTTATTTGAAGCGTGCATCGCCAACAGTGGAGCTATCTCAGCCGAGAGGCTGCTTGTTTAGACATATCATATATGGAGTGATTGCAGGACATATCTTACTGATCCAGATTTGTTTGACCCAATGGTATTACTCACAATGCATCAAAATAATGACATACTTTTTTTTTGGAAGCTCCGCATATCAATTAGCCCCCCCCCCCCTCCCCCACCCCAATAATCACAATTTGAAATTCACTGAAAAATCTTTGACCCAACCATTAATCACATCACCACAAATTGTGTGTAAACATGTAATATACGTTGTATACATTTCATACGTCACATGGGACTCGTTTCGACCATAATGCTGTGAGAAGACTTGCACTTTACCGTGTTCTCATACCTGTGGAATTCTGCGTACCTGCGCAAGTTTTGATTATGAAAAAATACCCGCTGGCGTATCAGATGAGCTGTATCTGAAATGCCCTATTACTGCTGCGGAGATAAACACTCATGAATTGTGGCCCTCTGGGTAATCTTGAAGAAATTATGCCTTCATAGAAGGAAATCAGGGTGTTTTTGGCCTTAATGATTCCCCAATGCTTTGCACCGATATCGGAAATGAGTTTTTCAGTTGAAATGTGTGAAATGTTAAGTGGCTTCCCCTGGGTTTGTTTTTTTTCTTGGTCAAACATAAAAGGGTATCGGTGTCAGTTGCAATCCTATTTCAGTGCCATGATTACTTACTTTTACACGTTTACAGAACCGATGAAAATAAGTGGTTGTCATAGAAACAATTAGTCATGCTTGTGGTGATCATAACAGCATGCATGTTGCCGTTAATTGTTTTCACTTTTGATTTTCACCCTCTCTCTCTCTCTCTCTCGGTATAAGTCTGAAACAAGTATTCGCTGACGTTCATAAAATGATTGAATTCCAATAACCGCTGCTGAAATTTATAGCAGGGAGAAAATAGGCGGTTTCTAATATTGCACTCGTTGCAGGTGTCAAAACCACAATCATGACTATGTCTAAAAAGAAAATTGACGCTTTTCTTAAATGACTAAATGTCTGTTCAGCTACTGTTGTGTAGAGGATAAAGGGGAAAAATCTATAAATAGATCAAGTTGTTAACAAGTAGCTGGATATTCGATGCATTGTATCAATTTTCTTCTCTCATATTCCTATACATAATGTATGAAGAAGGTAGTTTCTAACTCCGAGGAGAGAAGCATCTTCTATCTCTGATGAGAGCCCCATGATAAATTAGGGTAGAGCTATAAAACAATGAAATGTAATTAGATTTGGGTAATAACCATTTATTTCCTGTCAATGTCTTTAAATTACTTTAATGTCGTTAGGGAATTAAGAGCCCTAATTAATGTATTTCATATACCTTTCTGTGTACAATGTTGAATTATATGGAATATAATTTATATGTCAATACAGCCAATGTATTTGTTTAATAAATTGTAATAAATAAAATCCATCTGAAAAATTGTTAATTTTACTTTTCTTATCAAACATTTTTTGCATTTGAATAAATTTTGGGTCCAGCATTTTTTTTTGTGTTTTAGTATATTTCTATATAATTTCTTCATATGGTTTAGCCCAAAAGGAGAAAATATTAAAAATTGCGTGGAAATTTGGGGGAAGAAGTCTGACGATGATCAGGAGTTTATTGAATTTTGAATTTTGCTATTTTAATACAAAAAAACGTGCATTGTGTAAGCCGAAGAATAGCAATTTGCGATGCTTTTAATATATTCAATATTCTGTCTTTGTCAGTTTGATCGATGAGCATTACATGCAGCCTGAAACTGAAATTGAAATCTAAATGAGAAGTCTGGGTTATTATTCTGAAGTTATTCTTGGCATTAGTATGGAAAAATGAAATTAAATTGAATTAGCTGACAGATAACATGTTTATATGTGAGCCGTTCAATGAATACCAACGTAATAATAAATCGTCAAATTGGGTTGAAAGACAAATGAGTGTTGAGCTAGATTTGTTTTAATTTTTTTTTTTTTGAGTTTGTCTATATTCCTTAAAAAAAATGTCAGACACATATGGATAATTTAACCCTTGTGTTAATGCACAGTTTAAAATATAAAAGGGAGGGGTAATGATCCAGTTAGCCCAAGGCCATGAGACAGCCATTATTTGTTGGTGAAATGAGTACTGAAAACATCTGCTTAGTCTTCTAATCATGGCTATTAAGGCCAAATTGTATTTTTTAAGTGAGATCTTTTTACGACGGTAGTTGAAATTAATATCCACTGTTTTGTTCTTTCATGACTTTCCGGCAACCAACTTTAAAACGAATCATCATAGTTCACTTCACCTACATAAATGTCGCTATAAAGGTGTGCCGATAAAACAGCTGTTATTTCCCTTCCTGGTATATTAACGTTTTCGTTTCCTTGAAATTTGAAAACCCATTGTGTGAAATTGATGAAAGTTGCACATAGTGTAAGTAACATGAAAATATTATAACTGTGAACTTGGATGCCCAATAGACGATATTCTGTTCAATTCTATATCCCACATGTAGAAACAGGACAAACAAAACATCGTTTTTTGTTTTTTTTTGTATTTTTATGTTTAATAATGTGCTATACACATTTGATAGATCGGCAGTTCGATATTGAGCTATAAAAAATGAAGTTCAAACTCAAATCATTGATTTTTGTGACTGACGTTCGGTGGACACTTTTACGCAATACACAAGATCTGCAGTGAACAGAAAATAAATCAATTCACAAAGGGTAACAGTGGTGGAATATTTCTGTTAATGGTACTTCACCATGTGCAGGCTTCACTATAACAGACTGAGCCCCCTTGCTATTGGAATAGTTTGTGCCATATCTAAATTAGATGCTGCCCAAAGCGTTCAAGCTTTTTCATACCATTTTCTCCCTTCCAAATAAATGAGCAAATAATCTGTTTTATGCTGTCAGTTTTACACAGACAATAACTGAATGTTATAACCCAAATTCATGTAATTTCACATTGATAACGCTCTATTATTTCATTAAATTGCCCAGGATAATTTGCCAGTTTTTCTTCCCGGATAT